CACATAAGATTGTTTCGGTTTATGATTTGATAGTCTCTCTCGTAAATAGACTGCTCTGTGTGTGTGTGTGTGTGGGTGTGTGTGTGTGTGTGTGTGTGTGTGTGTGTGTGTGTGTGCTTGTTATCTATACAGAATTAATAATATCAAATATTCTTTGTTTTTTTTTCTGTTTTAGAGTGTCTCTACATCTAAAATATAATAACTTGATAGATAAAACAAAAAAAAACAAACAAACAACTAGTTCTATACAAAATGAAATAAAATTAGAATTATAATACAGTTTTAGCCATTTATTGGTAATAAACACATTCTTTTTTCACATGATTATAATAAAAAAAATGTTGATATTATAATTTGTATAGTCGTACATTCTCATGTTGTTTAATAAAGATAATTTAATTACTAGAATACTGCCTGTCTCTCACTATATAATTAAATGACACTGTCTATAATCCGTATTTTTTTACATTTCTATTTAGACGTCTACTAGCATAGTTTCTTCAAGATTTTTATGACATATTCTGGTACCATGACATTCAGACTTGAAGAGAAAATTTTGTTTTGTATTTTATCATAATAATATATATGTTATTACTTTTTGTATATGAATTTTCTTTTGGATGCTTACTTCTATTGTCGATGAGACAGCTGAGAATGAACTAATATTTCTCGCGTATCTCTTCTTATTAAAGGTCGTTGACCATTTAAAGTAAAAGGATTAACAAGAAAGAAATAGTTGAAAATAATTGCTGGTTTTACACTAAGTATATGGGTGTATACTTTATTGATCTATCAGCACTCACTTTCGTTTATAATCTTTTTTTTATGTTTATTCGCTCATCATTTCTTGAGTATGTAGAGATATATCCTATAAATATCTTTGTGTATCTGTACTATGCCTATCCTAATTTTCTTCGACTTCCTAAGCTGATCTATTTCTCTTATAAATAGGGAAAAAAAAAAAGTCAGCATGCCAATATATAAACCATCATAATAGTTTAGAAATGGATGCCATCATCGTACATATGTGTCTGAAAAATATGTTACGTAAAAATAAAAAGAGAAAAAAAACAACAACCTTAGTGCATGAGACTTAAACAAAGATATATAGAATATTATATGCTCTTTCATCTTTTATAAAAAAAAAAAAAAAAAGAACAGGAAAGAGGAAGAATATGGTATAGGCAACTGTATTATATTATGCATGCAACTACTACCATCATCATCATCCTCATAATAATAATCCTGATCATCATTTCGACTACTGTATTTTTCTGCAAATATATTTTCAGGTTTTTTTTTCTTCCGCCGATCTTTATCATAAGATGCAGCATCATTTTTGACTCGATTATTTTTTTTTTCTTCTTTCTCTCATCGGCTTTTTTTCTCTTTTTCTTTTCTTCTGTTAATAGGCTATGTACAAAAACGTGCAAGTCAATCATTACACAAGTTTGCCTGCTAAACCAACAACGACGACTGCTGCTGCTTCTTCTAGTTCTACAAGTAGAACAACTACTACTGATTCTTCTTCTGCATTAAATAATACAAACGACGTTATCATAATAAGAAAATCATCTTTACCTATATCACCACAATCATCTTCATCCAATTCTTCTCCCTCAACAATAGTATCAAAAATTAAACACGATTCAATAGCATTACCTGTAACACAACTAGCATCAACTTTAATGTCAAAAACAAACACTCATAATACATCATCAAAATCAGAAATTGATCAATTAGATGATCTTGTGAATGATTTATTAAATGAAGTTAATCGTCCAATACCATCATCTACGACAACAACATCAACAACAATTGATAGAAATTTAAAATATCCTAAAGAAAATATAAAAGAGACAAATGAACCATCCTATGGGCAACGTTCAACTGTAAAACATACTAATGGACAGCCTGTTACAGCGTCCTATTCGTATCATCGACGTTTCGATAATTCTGATGGCGATAGTAAACCGCCACCAACATCTTATAATCAAGCATCAACTTTATCGACATCAAAATGGAATAATAATTTAAAACGTGGATTCGATGAACGTACAGCAAATAGTGTTAGTGGACTAATTGATCAAGATAGTAATAGTAATTCTAATAGTAATATAAGATCAACGACACGAACAACACGAGAAGAACGTATACGTGTTAAACGTGGCGGTGGAGCTGGTAGTCAGCATTCACAAACAACCGGCACATCATCCGATATACCCTTGACATCATCATCATCGACAACAACGGCAACAACAGTAACAAAACCGATTAAAAATGATTTAACATCACGTGATCAATTATTTATGGACGAACAACTTATTGATTCACTTCTTGAAAGTGTTCAAAATACATTAAGAAAACGTTCACAACAACAACAATCTGAACATCAAACATCGCGATGGTTAAGTGAAAGTGGTACAAATCGTGGTGGTTTTAATACCGTTCAACATATTCCACCGACATCAAGAAGAACCTATAGTAGTAGTGCAGCCTATTCAGATACAGTACATAGAGTAAGTAATTAATATATTGTATAATATGCTCTCTTACCTAAAAGGGCAAATTAACCTTTTTTTTAATGCTTGTTTGATGATATTTTTATACTGGATAATAGAGCATATGTCCATTGTCACTATTAGGAAAAATGGGAAACCCCATTCGAGAATGATCGAACATTGGAATATAAATTTTTATACCAATAGCTTTTTGCATCAAGATTATTTTCTTATGCAACAAAAAACTAGTTGTTTTCAATTAAATTTTATTTCAGTCAATGGAAAGACTAGGGGTGATGACAGAAGTATAAAAACTTATAAAACCCATCATTCTTTCATAATATATACAAGATAATTAGGGAAAAAATGATACACTAATTAGAGAAAAATAGTTTTGAGACAGTAGAGTTCGTGATAAAAATGATGAAGATATTGTTTATAATCTATGATTGAGAAATATGTCACATGCATCGAATTGTCAACTCGCTGGAGGAATCAGATAATCAAACATTGCGAGAGCATTACGTCCACTTATTGTCCTCCCATAAATGGATAAGTCAAAAATTTTTTTGTCTACTATGAAGATCTGGCAGTTTTAAATAGTTAATGAGATCCCTATCGGATAATAAATAGTCCCTAGTCAGTATTTAAATAAATATGATAGTTCTAGCTTATTTCACTAATATATTGCTTTAATCGTACTCCCTTGATCACATTATACATTTGATATATTTTTTTAAATTTTATTCTAATTTTTATCTCTTAGCCTGTAAATAAGATACCCTACGACATCAGACATATTTCTTCTGCTTAAAGATACGCTTTCATAGTTGAATAAGGAGACTATTCAAAAGTGTCAAAAAAATGTTATTTATTGATCTTAATGAAGACGGCTCACCTCCATAAGTTGTTATTTGATCGATTTATTTTTTTTTATCTTCATTTATAATCACAACTATTATTTTTTTTTTACTTGAAGTTGAACTCTCTTATTTTTCATGTTATTATTAAAATATAAAACTAATAATTAATATTAATTAATATTGTTCATCTTTGATATAGATATTTTTTTTGTTTTAGTTTCACTTGAACAATTTTACTGAATAACTAAAACCTATAATTCATGATCTCATGATCATGATTTACCTACAATTTTAACTCTTTGTTGTTGTTTTCTTTTTTCTAAAATATATCCATATAATTGATATGATATGATAAAACTAACCTATCATGATATATCTAAGACAAGTTAATAATCATTATTATATATAATTAATAATGTTTTTAATTGTTTGACAAAAATTTAAACTAAATGATAGTTTGATTAGTATAGATGGTGTTTGAAGATAAAATTGAATCATATTATTAACTCAAATCTTTCTCTACTTAATTAATGACACTTCATTTTCACTGATAACTATGACTACTTCAAAAGATAAAATTTATGATATGTATATTATATAAAGAAATGAAGAATAAGAATAAGATTAAGATAGACTCGATAACAATAAAATGACAGAATTTTCAAATAGAATTCAATGTGATAAATATGTTCAATAATAATAATTTATCTGACAATAATCATTTAACTCCATTTTACAATTTTACTCTCTTCATAGTCAAACTTTATTTCTGAAGCTTTTGATAATGGTCAATAAACCTTGAAATTATGGACAAAATATTATATTAGAGATATAACAAAGAGACAAGAAAATCGTTTTCCATACAATAAATACTAAAAGAAAATGTGCCATCTTGTACCTTCACATGGAATCTTTAAGAGGTTAAATTCATTGAATGAAACAACGTATAGAATGTGTTTGGTAAACAAATTGATTGTTTTGTCTTTGTATAAAAATACGGTATTTAAAAGATGTCTGGTTCTACTACATTATTCTACATTAAATAAACAAATTGTGATAGAGTGTTTTCTTTGCTTTTTAATTACAATCTAGTTCTTAAAACATATTTATCTATTTAGATGGATCCTTCAGTGCATATGCGTGGGCGATTTCCTATTAAATTATATCGTACAGATAGTCCAACAAGTACGTTATCTTCTAGAAGAGTATACAGTCGTCATGATAACAGAGGGACTTAATCTAATGATTTATTTTAAAATTTAATATTTCTTTTTATAAATATTTTTTTAGATGTTGGTTTTAATAGTTATGGAGGGACATTACAAAGTCATACAATTATTCCTGCTAGTGGACGCGCCACATCTGAACCCCCACCGGAAGGCCCTATTCGAATGGAGCGCATGGATCTATTACGCTCTCCATCTCGTTCTCAAATGGATGATGGTGGACCACCGTCATCATCGTCGTTAGCCTATCATCATCCACATTATCCATATTATCGTTCAACATTACCATCTGGCGGTCTTCGTGTACGCGGTCACAATTATTCAGGCTATGAAACAGATACAGGAATTATAACATCTCAGCGTGGCCAACGTTTTTATGATCAACATCCAGTGTATCCTTCTTCGACAACCATGTACACTCAGCATAATATTCATCCACAACCAATGCATTTTGTACGTGATCGTCAACAAACATATTCATCATCTCAACATCAATCACGTGGTGGAAGACCAGACGGTTATGATACTGATACAGGTTTAATAAGTAGTGGACGTTTAAGAATGGCTAGAACATTACCACCAAGAATGAGTACAATACCTGAAACAGTTGTAGTGAATAATAGAATTATGTCAAGTACAAATTTAAATACAATGTCACCACAATTACGTGGTAGTGCATTTTTGAATGAAGTACAACCAGCACTACCTTCACAATCGAATACATTACGTCGACAATATTCGGGTTTTGATACAGGAGGTAGTGGTTATGAAACAGATAGTGGTATGCATATAAGACGACGTGTACTACCTGTTGATGTTCAATATGGAGATAGTGGATGGGTTGGAACACAACCTTATAATAGACAGCAACAATCACATCATCAAGTTTATAATCAAACATTGCAACCACAACATACTCAGTATCATTATTCTCAGCAACAAATGCCTTATCAACAACAACAACGTTTTCAGAATGTACCCATTTCGAATAGTAATAATACTTTATTTCGACAAAATGTACCAGTTAACCAGTATCATTCACATGATCATTTGAGATCGCGTGGAAATTCAATTCCTATACATCCTAGTTATATGGCATCAACAGAACAACAGTATCCACAATCTCAACAACAGTCACAAACCATAAGTCATCTAGTCGACAAATCATTTACATCCGACTCGAAAACACAAAAAAGGGTAAGAAGATGTTTTTACATTTCTTTTATGCATGAGTTTTTGCACTTATTATGACTATTCTATTCGAAAACTTTGAATTTTTTTCTACAAAATTATTATTATCAAAGACCTGATATATCAGGCGATAAAACTTCTAAGCAAAATAGACAAATTTAATATATTTTAACAAATAGCTGAAAAAACTTCAATATTTTGGAACTATTTACTTATTCGACTGCATGTATTATCATACACGCACGTACACTGCACGTTCAAATATTCACCAGCATGACAAATGAAGAAAACTATGCATGGCTATTGTTGTTATTAGTGTACATTTGGAGAAAAGGGGAGAAGAGACGCAAACGAATATTTTTATTCTCAACTTGTAGATCGAACAAACACCTTCAAATAATCAACAAAATGTGAAAACAACAATCGTATCTTCAATCACTACTGAAGGAAACAAAAAGGAAGAAAAACGTACACCAATCATTCTGGGTGGAGTAGGCTTATCAAATCCACCAAAACAATTTCAGTTTGAACGTACTACACCTGATAAAGAATCATCACTTTCGACAACAGCACAGCAACAAAAATTTTCTGATTCTTATCCACAACAACAACCACCATCTTCATCATCGAAACGTTCAGCAAGACCCAATCGTATAATTGACATACAGAACGAGAATGATAATACAAAACCACCAACATCAGTTCCTTCGACTAATACGTCTATTGATAATAATCTGAAACATTATACTTCAGGGGTAGAAATTTTAGAATTGATAAAATAGTAACAGCAGCTGCTTTTACATTCATATTTATTTAACAAAAATTAAAATTAAAAGATTAAAAGCTTTATATCAAAATAAATACAACGTTTCGGAAATTGTAATTGTCATTTTCAAGACAATAGATACGTTTAACGCAATGCGACATAAAGTTAAGAAATAAAGAGAGAGAGAGTAAAATACATTTTTTTTATTTATATTTAAAAAGTCTGTTTTATATTCTAGATTTTACAAAATATGTTTTTCCCTCTCTTAAAAAGAATGTCTATTTCTCTCTCTCTTACCAAAAAAATGTATTTTACTCCCTCTGTTTATTTCTTCAGTCATATTCGTATTAACTTTACATCGAGTTAAACGTATCTATTGTCTTGAAAATGAAAATGAAAATTTTCGAAACGTCGACTTCATTCTAAATTTTGTAAGGCCAACTACTTCTGATTCAAAAAACATAATTAATAGTGCAGCTGTTTTGAATTTTATCATATCCTTTGTTTTCTCTGAATATTTCGACCTTAACCGGTTATCTTCAACATAAAGTTAGCTATTGTACAGATAAAATGAAAAATACTTGCGTTTTTAATACAGTGGCTTATATACGTTCGGATAGCAGAGAACATATTTACCATTGAAAAACTAGAATTGTACCATTCTTTTTATATATGCATATAAAAAGACACAAAACATCATCATCTGTCAGAGATGGGCGAGTACGAGTATATACTCGAGTACAAAGGTCCTAGTACTCATACTCATACTTGTACTCGGAACCTTTTTTAACGAGTATTTGAAAAAATAATCGAGTACTTCCCAAAAAACTGGTGAGCCTTTTTTACTATTTACGTATCAAAACATCGATTTTTTCAGAATCACCGGCTTCTTTAGAAAAATTTTATACTCGAGTACTTTTCAGAAAATATTCGTACTCGTCCCTTAGTACTCGTACTCGTACTTGGAAATCCGTGTACTCGCCCATCTCTGTTGTCTATACGTTGAGTGTACTCTAACCTGTGGCTATTGTAGATGGTATAAGACATCCACTCCCTTTAATTTTGATCTTATTTTCCAATTCGCACGAAAGGGGATAGAACAGTCATTCTCGAACGTTTTTTGCATGCGCATATAAACAAAAAGGTACACGTTCTCGGTTTTCAATGGTAAATATATTCTCTTCTATCATAGAAAAACAAATGTTTTTTTTGATATAAGCTATTTATTTGAAAAAGTTTTTTTTCAATGTTTTTTTTTCGCTTAAAAGTTCGAGGCCCGAACGTATATTCATCATTGTATTAAAAAAGAAAGTTGTCATCTGTAACTGAGATAAATATTATAAGATTTTCTAATAAATCGCTATGCGCTATCTTTGACTTTTACTTATGGTTGTCATTTGTACATTTCGTAAAGGTTTATTTTCCTTCTTCTAGGCTTCAAACTCTGCCGGCAATGTTAGTCATGAAAGTTTGGATGCAAAAATACCATCGACACCGACATTTCCGTTAAATACACTAACATGTAAAGTATCTTAACATTTCTGTATGAAAAATCTTCATATTTTTTTAAATTTAGACAATCAAAATTCGCAAACAAAAAACAGTTTAGATCAACGAATGGGAAATAGGTAACCTTAGTGGAGCTTTTTTCTCTCAAGCACATGAGATTCTTTGATCATGCAAAACTCTCAAGGTATCCACATAAGGTGAGAATTACTTAGGCGTGTGCATATATTCCAAGAAAGTCATGCGCATACCTTGAGAAACTTAAGCGATTACTAAGAAGTTCATGTATATTTCTTCCTTACTTTACAATGCTTTTATCCATGTTTTCTATATTTGGTTACTCGATGTTTTACTTGGACTTTTCTTTCAGAATATGATATAATCAAAGTCAGTCTTGTGTCGGGTACTGATTAAACCAGGGAAATTGGATCATTACCATTTGCGTCTTTAGAGGTTCTAACTACTTTATGCATGGGCGCTTCCTCTTCTTAACTTCAATTTAAGTGTGAACATGGTCTTAATATCATGATCACATCGAAAGGAAGAAATATAAATCTGGATTTTGAGTGGCTGAAGCAGATATACGAAAGAGAAAAGTTCATGTAAAACTTTTTACGTTTTACGTTGCTGGTAGTGGCGTTTGAACGTGCCCTGAATGTAGCATATTGACGCATCGAAACGCGCCTGAAACGCCTTTGTAACCAGGCGCATTTAAATGCGTCTATATGCTTCATTCTGGACGCGTTCAAACGCAAACATTCACATGGGGCATACAAGGTATGCGCATATCTCAAGAAATTCAAGCACATGGAGTAAGAAAAAACTTTTTCCATGAGTAAAAAATGTTTGAACGCCACGACTTTCTTGAATAAAAAAGTTAAGTCATACGCTTGGAAAAAAAACTTCCACTAGGACACAAAATAGAGAAAAGGGCAAGCGAAGTGTATCTAATTGGGTTGCATTTCTAATTGTTATTCTAGTTCATATCGTAGTCAAGAAGAAGGCTCTCGACGTTCGAGTGTTTCATCGGCAGCAGGTACAAAATTCATATACATTATTATCAAAAAGTGTTCGTAGATTAATGAGATTTTTATGTTAATTTTACATTTTTTGATAGTAATCGTCCTAGTAATTCTTTGCTACTTTATAGAATAAGTAAAAGATTATTGTTTTCAGAATCAGATGTTTTACGCAGTAGTTCTCAACACGTTCATAATATTAGCAAATATTGGTATAAACCAAAACTTTCACGTGAAGAAGGTAATGATTTATTGGAAACTAGAGTCATTTGAATTCATTTCTATATTTTTGTTTTTCTAGCTATCTCTCTCTTAAAAAAAAAACCACCAGGATCATTTTTAATACGAGATAGTCAAGGATTTCCTGGCTCATATGGATTAGCGATTAAAGTTGCTAAATTACCTCCATCTATCCAAGCAAAACCAGGTAAATTATTCATATTTAATCACCAATTTCTTGTATTTTCTTGCTGTCTTTCGTTTTACAAGGGGCTGATCCAAATGCTGAATTGGTGAGACATTATTTAATTGAACGAACACCAACCGGTTCTGTAAGATTGAAAGGATGCATTAATGAACCTGATTTTGGTAAGAACAACTTTATCAACAATAACAACAACAACAACAATAATATAGAAATTATTGTCTCTTGCAGCTACTTTATCAGCATTAGTTTATCAACATACACTAACACCACTCGCTGTACCATGTAAACTGGTATTACCTGAAGCGGATATTTCGGACGAATTTGAACGTGTTGGTCAAGACGGACGAAAAATGTCAGCCAAAGAACTATTAGATAAGGGCGCCGGTAAAATATTTTGATCGTAAACTTTTCAAATTCATTTTTATTTAATTGTTTTGTTTTTTTCAGCATGTAATGTATTGTATTTGAATAATGTTGACGTTGAACAATTGTCGGGTCAAGCAGCAGTTGCTAAAGCATTACGTTTGACATTTGATAATGCCGACAATTTACAAGCAACCATTCTTCATTTTAAAGTTTCAAGTCAAGGAATAACGCTAACGGATTTAAAGAAAAAGTATGTAGACAAAAATATTATGTAGGATAACGCTTGAATTATATCTTATTTTTTTTTTTTTTTTTTTACTAAGGCTATTTTTACGTCGACACTTTCCGAAAGAAATGGTTACATATTGTGGCGTTGATTATGAAAATGATCGTTATTGGACGTATCAATTTCCTGATTTGGATACACTATCAAGAGCGAGGTGAGCACCGTTGCATTGAAGTATGTGTTGAATTAACATTGCTATCTTTTTCTTTTTTCATTAGATGTTTTGCCTTTGTATCGAAGAAAACTGATAAATCTAGTGAAAATGAATGTCATGTATTTGCTGAGATTGACACGACTCAGCCAACATCAGCTATTGTTAATTTTGTCTCAAAAGTAATGATTGGATCTGTGCCTGTATAAAAATATCTATCTATAATCTATTTCGGATTATTACGTTCTCTCCGTTTTTTGATTAAGAGAAATTATTCTCAGTTAATCGTCGTCATTGTTTATTATTGTTTATCGTTAATTATTTTCAAAAATTCGATGATTTTCACACATCGACTATTAATTTTGTGCAGTAGAACAATAAGTGTTTCGCACAGTTTTCACTGTAATTTTCTCATTTTTTTCTAGTGCGTGTTTTGAGTGTGATTTTGCGCATGTATTTATATATTTTGCAGTCTGTTTTTTTTTAGAAATTTTTTTAAATGTATTTTTTATTTCGCCTTTTTTTTTCATTTTTTTTACTCTCAAAGAGAGTGTAGCTCACTTTACAGCTGTCTTTTTTCATCTGTCAATGTGCATAATGCCATATTAGGATTTTTTCCTAAAAATCTATTTGACTATAGAACAAAATATTTCTTAATGCGGCCATTTTTTTCTACACAAATCTTCTTATTACTCATCATTTCACTCATCTTCGGAAAATAAAAATCTCAGAAAAACTATAAACATGCACACGTCAATACAACAGTGATCATAGAACAAAAAATTTTTATACACGTGTGTCATATAACTCTTTTAATGGCATTTTGTTTTTTGTATTTCATTGGTGCTTTTTCTGCCTTTTTCTTTTTCCTTTCTTTTCTGTCTTTTTACAAAACCAAATTCACGAAGAAAACGCCCTTATTTTGTTTTTGATACACGTTTTATTTGTTGGTTTATATTCAATCTTATATATATTTATATAGTATTTCTGATATCTATCCAAGATTCTCTCTCTCTCTCTCTCTCTCTCTAAGTATAGAACTCTTGGTCAGCAAATAATCTGAGTTTTTCTAGGAAGATCTGCTTCTCTCTCTTTTTTGTGTTGTTGTTTTTTTGCTTGTTTATTGTTGTTGTTTTTCTTTCTTCATTTTTTCACTATCTTGAATTATTACTGTTTTATAATAAAGAAAAAACAAACTTGAGTTAGCCTACTTGAGAGAAGCGATAAAAAGAAAATTATTTCGAATCTTGTCTATTGATATTAGTGGACAATATAAAGAATTTTGGACAAACAAGAACCAGCTACTAACGAGAAAACCTTCTCAGGTGTAACCCACATGGATCGATTGCCTTTTGTGACTATGTAATGCTTTATAGAAGAATTTTTCAGTATAATAGGTATGTTTTTCATTCGAGACAATAACCATCCACTGTGTTAATTAAACTCATATCTATATTAAGTGTTTG